AATTTAACAAGGCAAGGCTTTTGATAAAAACGTGAATTTTTGATTGTTTATTTGTGTTTGCATTAATGCAGATTTCTGGACTCCTCAAGGATTTTCTCCGACTATTTTAATGGGGGGCACTTACCTCGACATAGGAGAACTCGGCGCTGGCCGAGCGGCCGCAGTAAATGTCCTTGAGCAGCTGCTCCAGCTGGGCGACGTTGTGGGCCACCTGCGGACCACTTAAGAGGCCACCGGTGCGCACCGTCTCCTGTGTCTGCAGTCCATAAAATGCGGGACTTAATTCCTGCAGCTCCTGCTTGCTGTGTCCACGTGGCCGGGAAAATTCAGAAGACAAATACACACAGTCAGTCCGACAGGACATTACAAAGGAGCCAGAAAGGAGAATAAAATATGACATTTGCCGGGATGATTCGGGATGGGTGTGGGAGTGGGAGTGGGTGCCTCCTACCTCGTCCTGATGCTGATGGGATTTACGGCTGCCAATTTGTGCCCGTGCTGGCGAAAGGCCTCCACGAAACGATAGACGTTGGCCTGCGCGTTCCTGGAAGCCCGCACATCCTCGGCCACTGAAACACATGCGTAAACAATATAAATTCCGCCCGACGTTATAAATTATTTAAAAAAGGATTCACGTGCAGCACACCGCCCATGCCACACTGTGCGGCCTTTTGAATTTATTGGCCTTTTACTTTTATGATATTTGTTCTTTGCTTTTTACGCTCCGCTTCATTTTGATGGACTAGCTGGCAGGTATGTGCACTTTTGAATCATATTTGACGCAAATATTTGGCATTTGATATGGAATGGAAATGACATGAGTTCGGGTGAATGCAAAAGGGTCATGTTTATTTTATTCAGATTTTTGAATAATTTAAGCCACTGACCATGTTAAATCAGTAGTGGTCCAATAATATATAGATTATGAATTGTATATATTTGATTTTTAATAGAACATTTACTTTTTATAAGAGTATTTCAAACCTTATATCAATTTTAATTTCAATTAAAGTGTATTCAATGTTTGCTCTTCACAAAAAATCCCCAATTCGTGTTACATATGAGAAATGGCAATGGTTGTTTTTATCGGTTTTTTGGGCCATTTTATTCTCTGGTTGAGCCATTGACAACTCGTTGGCTGCTTAGGTGTTTACGTGCTAAAGTGTTATCCTGCTTATAGGATTTATGTGCGATGACGCATATCACTCGATTACAGGGCACCTTGAGAATCCAAATCCGTGGGACAGACACGGGTCATCGACAGCTGGACCCGCATTAAAACTCAGTTCTCTTTAAAAGAAATATATGCAATTTCTAGACGGTATTTCGGTGATAAATCAATTTAATGCTAAAGAGTGGGACGTCTGGACAGGAGAACAGGGCGTATGATGAATTGTATTTGCGGCGACAACATTTCAACTTGAGCGTGTAAATATTATTGGAGCACAGCGGCGCGTCCTTTGCCAAAGGATAATGGTTGCCCTGACAGAGATGCAACCGAAGGACGAAGTGCAAACAAGTCGGTGAGCCGAATGGGGGTCTCTTCCCATTCCATATCAGGGGAACTAATGCGTACATACATTGGGGAAAATGTGACGGTTGAACTAATAAATTACAAAATATCTCAAAAATCAAATGAAAATAATTAAGGTTACCAATTTTAATTTAATTCCTCATAATTTAATTGTAAGTATATAGGAAGTGCGGGGAATAATACGTCTATTCGCAACTCAGTTCAGCAGGTACTTCAAAGCGTTATTTTAACTATCTTAAAATCATGAAAAACTGGGGTCAGCAAAGTCTATCTATCATATTATAGCTTTCTTCCCATTCCTTGAAAATTCTTGAATTTAAATTAATTTCAAATGTTTTAAAATAACCATGCGGAAAACAACGGCTTTCTAATGCAGATTGATGAAAAAAAATGGCAAACGATAGATGTTCCTTTCCTTTCTATTTGATGACAAAGCCAGCTTGGTTTTAGAAGCTTACAAATGAGTATCTTAAGCTGTATATAGTTTTTTATCATTCCTGAAATAGTTATTTACAGTGCAGCATCTCAGGCAGCTGATGTCACTTGGTCAAGCGTCGAGGGCTTTCCTCTGCTGGCCAGTCAAAGGCTGCCGGCGGACTATAGTCCGTCTATGGTATTCCGGGTTCCAACTACCAACTGCTGACTGCCGGCTGGTGTCTGCTGGCCATGGTGTCGATAAGCCCCAATTGTGTACGCAACGGATGCAGGACAAGCACAAAGGAGCTCCCGTTTTGGGGTCCTTTGTTTGCCGGGCTTTGATATTTAGCCGGGTCTTTTCAGACTCCCTGTTGTGCGTTTTAGGGATAGATATAGTATCTCTGCACTGGACACCCGCCTCTCCATGCTTAATTAGTGCAGTTCACAGGGGGTCTGCCACAATCTCTGGGTTCTAATTATAAATTCCAAGCACCGGCTGTGCCATATATTTAAAGTTTATCAGATTTTAGAGTGAAAACATGTGATAAGCTAAGAGCTTTAAGATTAGCTTGGGTAGGCAACAGGAAAGAGGGTAGCATTGAAGCCATAAAAAATATTTTACTAGTATTTTGTCGATAGTCTGGAGGCATACACAATGATTCTTACATTTATAACGATTTATGACGAGATATATTTTTGGGCAGACAAATAATATATATTTAAATGGATACCGCCTAACAATTTCTTCTGACCTAACTATTCCCCAATACACCCTCCGATTACGGGTAGTCTGTGATGTATCTTCTTCAAACAGGTCGCCTCGGACATGTTCGAAGTGCAGCATGAGTTTCAACCGCCCGAGATTGAGTTTTTGTGTTTGAGTTTGACTTTTGCTTCTGGTTCCCAAGTTACCCAGTTTACCCACAGTAATTTGCTTTTGATCTTTTGTTCAGGTTGTTGTTTTATTGGAGTTGTTGTGGCGGGATTGTTGTGGGTCAGCTGCTGGGATTCCACTGATAAAGAGCCGGGTGGCAAATCCCACTCACACTTAAACACAATGTCACTGCACAGAAAACTCCAGTGGTTTTTTAGTTTGTTTGGGTACATTTCCACTGCTCATTTATTTGTTTTTGATCCCGAAACACTCTTATCGATGCGATGGTTATCTCGACGGATGAGGTTTTTATTGAAGTCTTGGCAACACACTTTTTCACATTTGGATTAACAGGCGTACCTTGAAACTCGCGCTGGGCAATCGGCTTATAGCCCCAAACGCCCTTTTCGCTGTGATAGCATCGCGATAGTGGGCGTGGCAGTTTCACGATACTGGCCTCCGAGTGCGCAAAGTAACGCAGCATGCTGATGGATAAGAACTAGGCGTATCTGCCGGATCACCTGATAAATACGAACACGGACTGGCGGTCTCTTCACGTCGCCGTTCGACCCAGAACTAAAATCTATATCATTTTGTTTGGATTCCGAGACCCCCTGAAGCATTTTAAATACTGATAAGCGGGGAAAGAGAACAAAAGAGTTTCTATAAAATGTATCTGCCGAATAATCAATGCCTCTCTTTGTTATCTTTGGTTTGCCTACTTTTGGATGTTCACATACCATAAGATCGCTGTTAACTAACAGAGTGCTCGTTTAGGTTCTGTTAAAAATATAAAACTAACAGAATTGTTATACACATGTCTGAAATGATAATGACACCAAACATGGCCATAGGTTGTTGGAATTTCAAAATGTTCTTATCAGCCCTGCAAAGCTGATAATGCACAGGTTCGCTGGCCACTAATTAATGGTTTTTGTGAAAGGTAAAAATAGGGGAAATTTTATCTATTAAATTAGTCATACATAGAGGAATGTTTTAAAGTAACAAGCACAAGGTAAAACCCTGTTATACTAGTGACTAAAGTTCTTTCTTTTTATTTAACTTTATTTAACATTGAGCTTTGTTATTTTTATAAATTTTTTTTAAAACTGAACTTACCAATTTAACGACTTTAATTTTTAAAATACTTGATTTATCTATAAGAATCAATCATTTACTAATAAAGCAATAATAATCTATCCTTCGGTTTTTATCAAAGATATCTTTATCAGCCGTATTCATTTACAACTTTTTAAAGAGTTTTATTTAGAAAATTTAAGTCTATCATTTCTCTCAAAACGGCTTTACTTATCTTTATAATATCTGAGTTTCCCCATTCTGTTCTTTATTTATTCATAAATGACGACCATGACACTTTCATGGCCAAATGAAATCAATCCCTAGGCTTTTTTGACATCAACTCCATTCATAGAACGTAAGCTGCATCGGAAATACCTTTTGATGGTCGGTAATGGGTCATTGTCTATAATTAAACCGGAAGCGTGCTCTCGTATGTATATTCCCTTGCTGTGTAGGTTTTACAGTCCATTCAGTGTTTCACAAAATGGCGCGTCATGGGTGTGATTAACTGTAATGGAAGTGAATCACAAAAATCGGCCAAAGTCAACAGAGAGGAATATATATCTCGAATATAATATGGAGTAAACAAATGGGTTGGTAAATCTAGAGCACAGAAAAGAGCGCGGAGCCTCCCAAAAAGCCGAGAAGGAATGCGTTATCTGTGCGTAATGTTCCATGATAAGATATGGCCAACTTTATCTGGCCGATAAGGTGATGTTTCACAATCGGGTAGACGGCGACAGGTGAACAGAACTGAGTTTTGGCAACGCCCCAATCGGATCGTTAGAGTTAACTTTGCTTCAGTCTTAGCTGAGCGGCTCGCTGCAACGAACGTGTTTTTCTGCCTGGTAATGAAAATAAATTGAAAATTGGTGACAAGTGATAAGAAAACCGATAAGCTTTTTTCCCAACTGATGATGTCACCAAGTGAAATGTTCAAAAACGAGGAAAATTGTGCATAAAAAGTGAAAAACTGCAAATATAACTGAGTGATATAAAGAAAATATATTTAATTTACACCTTGATGTTTTTCTTTTAGCAGTGAAACGAAAAAACGAATTACCAATTAAGTGATTAATCGAAATCGAAGTGAAAATGCGCTTCAAACTGTTTTTGGTTTGTGCGCTGGCCTGCGGCTTTATGGCCTATGTCCTGGCCAACGAGAATATATCGACGGAGGAGTTCGAGGATCAGATAATAAATGCAGTTCCCGAGCCGGTGAAGGCGGATAAACCCAAAAATCAGGCGGAATTCGTGGAGGTTCCGAAGGCCACACCCGTGGTCAAAAAAGTGGAGGAGGAGGAGAAACCGAAAACCAAACCTCTGGCACTCCAAAAGCCCACTCTGATTCCCGTGGTCCATGTGACCAGTCGGGGAACCGATGATGTCCTGACCGTCGCCGGATTGAAGCCCCAGAAAATGTTCGGAGCCCTCGTAATGCCAAATGACTACTTGGGCGAGCTGTACGACGTGGACAACAGCGGCTACAATTGGGGTGAGTCGATTTCGTTGTCCCTGGGCGCTGATTCAGTTCCACCCCATTACTCATACGCCGCGTTGACTATCTTATCAGAACAGCTCAGTGGGTTTCAGTTTGGTTTAGTTACCAATATTTGCTCGATAACCTGTTCGTTCGTTCAGGTGTTGTAAGCTCCCTCTCTCTTTTTCTCTCTCTCTGTTTTGCCCGATAAGATAATGCCCGGGTTGAGGCATTAAAAAGCTAACGGTTTTCTTGTTTTCCGCTTCGGCAAACAAAACAAGTGCGTGGTGGTGGGGTAGGGAGTATATAGTATATATATATGTATTACATATCGGTGTGGACACAAGGGGGTTATAGAGCACATAGTCTTGGGTGATTCAGTTTACAACCTCTGGTAGAGTGTGGATTTTGCAATTGCAAAGGCAGCTCTGTTTTATCAGTCGTTCAGGACTGATATATGGGCTATCCGGAATTGGTATTGGAATTTTTCCCCATATTAGTCAGAGCTCTTTGTCCGACGGTGATTATGAGATAGAAAGGATTGGTTGTGGGAGAAGCATGGCACTGGAATTCAATCTCTGATGCGGTGATTGCAGGAATAGTTTGGGAACTATATTTTTATAGGGTTATAAAATGACTCACTACTAACAAAAAAATTATTATAAAAATTGCTCATTAAATGAAATATTATTCTTTGATTTTAGTATTTGAATGGTATTTTCCTAATAACCGTCCCATTTCCCAATAAAAAACTTGTATGTTTTGCTTCCGATATTATATATTGGAATTGTCTTTAAAAGCTTAGGCTAACTTAGACTAAAGTAAGGAGTATCCTTGGGAACCTTAATTTACAATATATATTAGGGATTCCTGATCTTAGGCACTCATTGAGATGCGTTGCTCGTACTCTGCGATGCGCAATCTCACAGGAACCACTAGGCTAAGATCTTCCATGATGGCGTGGTTCTGGGTTCTCACCGTGACATTGGTGTTCTGCCTCAGAATGGTGGCCCTGGACTTGTCCATCGAGGGTTCCGGCGCAGGGATCTCTTGCGTAGGATGCCCCCCTTGCCCACGCCCATGTCTGGCGCATGGGGCGTGGCAAACAGTCTTTTGGGCTTGGGCGGTGGCACTTGACCGCCGTTGAGGGACCCACTGCTGCCCAGGAAACTGTTGGCGGTGCTGCTGTTGGCGGTGGTGGTGGCTATGTTCTGGGACGGGTGGTGCGCAACATGGCTATGAAGCGGTTGTTGGTGGCGCCACCTGGCTGCAGCAGTTTGTTGAAACCCGACTCAAAGGTGTTGGTCAGCTTGTTAAGAAGTTGATTTTGTCGGTGACAGTGGGTTTCTGCTCCGGCTCGGGATGTTGCTCCTGTTCTGGCCGTTGCTCCTGTTGCAGTGGCTCATGTTGCTCCCCGCTGCCCTGTGGTCTGTGGTTTCTCCTGGCCATTATTTCGCTTGGACATTTCCAGTACCTTCTCCCTCAGCTCCATGGACCAGCGCTTCTGGGCCGTATGCAATTTGGGACGCAGCGGGGAAATGCCATTACCGGGCTCCTCCGCTTTGGCCAATTCCACGGCCAGTTGGGTTGTGAATCGCGGCTTGGGGGTGGAGGTGATGGTCGGTGGCGGCCGGGTGGACATGTCCTCGTCAATGTCCATTTCCAGTTCGCTGATGAATGAGGAGGAGAACGGGAGGCCCCTGGACTGCCGAAGTCCGGCGACGAGGGACTCAGCTTGTAGTTGTAGAACTGGAAGTTGAAAGTGCTGATGCTCATGTTGAAGGCTGATGAACGAATGTGATGCTGTTGCCAGGAAGGCAGGCCTTATATAGCTGGGATTCTGGGGACTACCTGCTCTAGTTTCAGCACCGGACAGCTGGTCCGGGGAACTCAGGTAGCTGGCTAGCTTAGCTTGACTCCATTCTGGGAAACTACCTAAGCCCTGCAAGTAAAAAAGGCCCACATTTCCCGGTAATTGCAACCCGAGCACGCGAATTTTGCGTGTTTTCCGCGCACCAATTTTACACAAATCTTTTTGCTAATCCGCGCACTTTTATAAGGTCCTTTCAAAAGGATTAGCGAGGGTACTAATTCATAAACAGCTTAAAACTTAAATTCGCGACAGATGTTCAAGGTTTCTAGAAGATAATTCCTCCGGGTTTTATGGCCCACTCTTAGCTGTTGACGTTTCATTAGCTGGTTCATTACAATCAAAATCAATGCAATTAATGGCCAATAATTCAGTCGACACTCGGCAATTGACAGCTGGCCAAACAGACGTAGAAAATGAGAGAGGGAAAATGAAAAACGAAATTATAAAATACAACTGCAATTTTCATTTACTGAAGGCGAATACGCAATTATACAGCGATGGAATGGCGAAATTGCTATGCAGAAAGGCGAAAAGAGGTGTCGGGATCTTAATAGGGTTCATAATTATTTGATGGAATTATTTATGAAGCTTAAAGGGTAACTATGGAGAGAGTTTTCTTTGAAATAGTAATGAACAGATAAGAAGTGAAAGTTATAATTACATAAAGTTTTATAGTAATATTGCCAATAGTTCATTAAGAAGTCAGAATAAATAAATGGTAAATATATAAAATTTTTATAACTTATTGCTTACTGCTTTTGCTTGATCCGCAAATTAAACACAAGAAAGTGCAAGTTTGTGGTGGAACTTTGGGTATTAAAAGAAAAAGTTTCTCGAAAAATAGCAACAAAATGATGCATCAGTTAGTAAGACGGCTAATTGATTTATGGAAGAACACGATTATAGTCAAACTTTAGAAGTACCCATAAAATATTCTTGGAAATTCCAATGAATGTCCTTCACAACCTCAACTCAACTCCTCGGGGATGCCGGAAATATTTTGAAATCTTGGCCAGGACTTGGCCACGAAAACTTCGCCAGCAATTTAAGTTTTTGACCAGCATGAGGAGCAATATCCTTAAGCGGATCCCGGGTCCCAGGGGCTCCTGTTTCGGTGTCCATTGGGAACGTCAGCTTTGCACTTAATCAGCTTAAATTGCTTTAAAAGGCCAGCGGCAAAGGAAATTAGGAGAAAGAGGAGAAAGAGGGAAGACAGCCAAGTTTGCAGCAAAGAAATGAATATTAACTGTGACCTTTAATGGCCAAGCACCCGGAACGGGAGCTGCGAGGATGTGGGTGGTGGGTGGCTGGAAAGTTGCAGCCGGAAAATGCAAAAAAGCCAGGAAAAAGTTTTCTTTTCACTTTATGCCGTGCAACGCAGCAAGTGCAAGGGATAATATTGTGGAATTGAAAAAGTAATCTCCCGGGATTAGGTGTGAAATTATAATGATAGGCCACAGCTCTCGCCTCCCTAAGCTATTTGTCTCATTGCTCCACCTCCTTGCAGATCCCAATAACAACGTGGCCCCTTCGAGCCCGCCTCGACGGCAGCCGGAGGCTATACCATTACGTCCGCCAGGTTGGCCGAGCTCAGGAGCACCTTCATGTACTGGTACTTCGACAAGGACATGTACGGAGGACGCGGCGACTACCAGTTCGACATCCATGCCTCCATGACGCAGCTCCACAAGAATCTTAACTTCCAGCTGCCGTTCTACGGATTCCGTTTCAACTACACTAGGGTAAGGTTCCATCAAAAATCTCAAAGTTTAATTCTTAGTTAATGTCGTATTTAAATAATTAAAAATTCTTTATACGTTAAAGCATAATAACCTTTGTTTCCGTATAAATTATAACAATAAATCACAATATACTACAATCTAATTGAAAATCACCTCCTTTTACAGCTCTCCCTAAACGGCTACTTGGAGTTCTCCGATCCACCAGAGTACCTCACCTATCCCCTGGTTTTCCCCATCAAGGACTGGCCGCCAAGAGGGATCCCTCCTTCATGGGCATCTTTTTCAGCAAGTGCCGAGTGGGTCGTATTTATCCATCGGATATTGACCAGCGGACGCCCGGCGTTTACTTCCGGTAAGACAATGCATTCGCATCTCAATCTATTTCCGCATCCTCGCTCTCCCCGCTCGCATTTCCGGTTCGTTTGTATTTATTTGCCAACCATATTTATTTGCCTTAGTTTCTCGTGGCATTTGCATATGCAAAATCAGTACACAGCACGCGCCAAACAAAAGTATTTATACGTATATATTCGTTCTACGTGCGCCCGTCGTCATTTACTGAAAACGAACACAATCTAGCATGAGTGTGTGCGTGTCCCACTCGCCACTTCCGGTGGCCCCATTTTGCATGTGTGTGCGCTCGTGTTTTTGGGCCTGCATTTATGCATATGGCCTTCCAAAAGGTATGATTTATTTGACACAAGATTTGTTCTGCATAACTCGAGGGATTAAACTGTAAAAGAACAGGACTTAAGGATATTTTGAGACCATTTAATTTAGTTATTTTAGTATTTTTAAGACTTAGAGTGGTGTTTTTAATTTCGAATAACATCTCTCTTGATGGTGCCAAAAAATATGCTACAAAATATGTGAAATCCAAAGGTACTTATTTTAATAAAAAGGATATCACACTTAGATTCAAAACCCTATAGATTTTTGTTCCAACATCGAATTCATTTTGATAAATTTAAAATGAAATAAAGAGTATGTCCATTTTCGCCTTGCTGCGGCTTTAACCTCCAGCGTGGTTTGTCATTGTTAGTGCTTCGTTGCTTGTTACTGTCATTTATTGCCCCAGAATTCTGCATTATTTCAGTGGTACCTGTACCTCACCGTAATATTTCTGGGACCCCATGGCGCTAACTGCCAGCAGATTTCCACCTCCATTATTTTCCTGCTGATTTCAGAATGCATTGGTGCGTGAATTCATTTCGAAATGTCCATCATCCTGATGCATTGTGAAGGATTTTACAGAAAAGAGCATGCAACTCCATTCAACGCGATTCCATCAGAATGAAACAATGGCATTTCGGGGCTGGAATCCCTACTTTAATTACATTCAGTTGCCCTGCACTTTTTCTATGAACTTTTCGAGGACAATGTTTAAATTTATACAAACATGAATTCCCATTATTTTTTTGTTGCCTTCCCCCGGCTAATTATGCAAATGAATGCCAGTGGGGGTTAAAAAGTTATTTGTGGTGTATTTATATGGGTTACCCCAGGGCAGCGGTATAAAAAAGCCCTTACAAATTCTGTAATCGCACACACAAAAAAGCAGCCACTCAAAAATGCATTAATTAGTTAAAGCGAGTTTCATCTTAAATTGCTCTTTGGTTAACCCGCAGTTCCGAGCTATTTGGAGCATAAATTATTGCTGCCCGCCTACATTGTTTCACCAGGCTTACATTTCATGGCTCTCAAGAACAAGAACGGGATAAAAAAGACGGAAGACAAGAGCATAAATTACTTCAAAGTGACACAGAATGACAAGTCGGTTGAGGGATGTCTGCATGCTGGAAAATGCAAGTGGTTTTACCAACAAAAAATATAGGCGAAAAATTACAAGAGTGGTTCAATCAATCTGACAGCATTATGAATGGTTTAAAGCGGTGTAAGATAAATGTTTTCCATTGAACTGTCCCTGGCATTTTCGTCTTATTCCGTTCATGGGTTTGTTGTCAACACTTTGTGACGCCGGCTGACAAATTGCCACACCAGAGCAATTAACATCCTGCGAGGAACAGGATTGCAAGGATGGGGGTGCCATGCAATGCATTTTTATAGTTTTACACAGTCCGACAATATGTCAAACTTGCTTTTCGCATAACTCGTTCAATGGCACAGACCCTGGCATTTAATTGTCTTCGCCTTGTGTATAGCACCATCAAGGGAAATGCTCAGCCAAACTTTGATGTGTGCACTGGGAAAAAAGTATTAAACAAGAATTATTTACAAACACCCTAACACGTTATCACAAAATTTCAAGCCCATTCATTCACCATTTTTGTAGGGTGCTAGAATCGCTTTAAAATGCGTCAAAATGTATGCAATACAAATTTTTGTTGCATACTTTTAAACACCTTTAAATTCATTTCTTTATTTTACCTTGCTAGTTTATAGTATATTTTTTCTGAAGTAGTGCTTATAATAATGGAACAAACTATTTTTAACAAGGAAACTTCTTGATTTTGCTAATCGTTTTTCGCTCAGTGCATCTGTGAGTGGGAGTACAGAGGTATTACAGAATGGGGAGTGACTGGAGCTGTGACTGGAATTTAATTTAAATAACTTTCATGGCGCTGAAGATAAAGAAGCCAAGCAAGCGAATAGCGAAATGCGAGTGATGTAAAATTGCTGGCCACCCAGCACCACCCATTGAACCCCCCCCCCATTGTACCACCCACTATTAAAGCACTCCCTTCCCCATCGACATCCTCCCACATGTCGGACCCTACTTATTTCGCATCAATTTAATTACACACTCGCACTTAGCGCTCAGCATTGGATTAGCTGAAAGTGCAGGACGTTGCGCATACGCCGCGTGGACCGCCGTCCACTTTGAGCATTAAATTCATTATGAGCGCACGTTTAATTACACACACAAACGTTTAGCCGCGTCGGTTGGCGAATAAAAACTTAATGTCGTTTGTTCAGGATTTTTTCCCTTTGTTAAACGCTTCAAACTTTGTCAGCGCGTGAGTTTCGATGTGTATGGGGGTTTTTTTTGGCAAGTACGGGAATTACTGCAGGACCTGTGAGCGTTTAATTGTTGTTTGGCGAGGGAAGCTTCAAACGGAATCTTAATTGCCGGCCTGCGTGGGCACAATTAAAACATTTTCGGCTGTAAGCTCTTTGAGTCAAAGGTGCATTTGCAAAGAAAGAAATTAGGACATTAAAATGCACAAAGGACTTTGAAGAGAAATAAAAAAACTATTAAAAAATATTATTATTTCAAAGCCTTGGAAATTTTAAAAAACTACTTGCTTTAAAATTACAGTAAAATACCAATTTCAATAGAAAATACATATAAAGGGAAAGTTTTAAGATGGATACTTTTCCTAAAGTGGATACTAGCTAGAAGTCACTTTCCCCAAAATTTATAGAATTCAGGCATTGCACTCAAAGTTCTTCACCCAAGTTCCTTGAAAGTGTTTTTGGCCAAAGTTGTTCTCTATAACCGGGGCGCCATAATAATGCCGCTTCATTATTCCCTTTTGCCAATCATAACAAGAACTTCCCCAATCCTTCGGCCCCCAAAACCACCTCCCCCATCGTCCTTGGCTGGGCCATTTGCAAGTCTCTGTTTGCATTTACTGGTGAGAGCGCTTTCTGCTTTCTCCGCGCTGTTTTCTGCAGCTTACATGCAATTTTCGCCATTTTCTTTAAGTACGGCCATTGTTTCACTTTCATTTACACCCCGAGAGATGGAATTGGGCCACACGGCAAAAGGCAAAAGGCGAAGACGGAGACATGGCTGAAACGGTGGATAAGGGGCTGAAAGGGATGAGGAGCGGGCCTCAAATATTCCATGCAAAGCGGCGAAAAGGCATTTTAACCTACAAATGCAGACAAAACTGTGGCAGCGCCCGAATGTATGCAATAAAGTACATAATGGCGCAGTTCAAGAACTGGCCTGCGATGGGAAAATGGGGAAATGGCGGGACGGGGGCGGGAAATTGGGTGGAAAAGCGGCACGGAGCTCGACTTATGTACGAGCTTCTGCTGAGTTTCTATTACTTTTTTGCGACTCTCTCTATGTCGACACGGCGAGAAAAGGCTTTACATAATAGTCAGAGATATTATTCATTTATTGAGATTGGAACTTCAAAGGTATATAAAGATTTATCTGGAAAAAGTAAACCCACATTTCTGGCTAGAATTTTTTCTCAGTGCTCGTATAAATGTATGTGGCTTTTTGGCTTACTTACACGTAAAAGTCTACGGGTCTGCGGCTGTTTTTGGCTGATGCGCGCGCATTTCTAGGCTGAGTGACAATTCGCATTTTTTTAGCCCGAATGTCAATTGCAGACTTTTAAAGTTTTTTGCTCTGGGCAAACACAAATGATAAACTATGCTAGTGTGGGTTTTTGTGTGTGCGGTTATCTCTGAGAAGAAGAAGGATCTTTTGGCCATGGCATGCGGTTTTTGCAGGCTGCCAACAAACGTTTTCTATTTTTTATGCTTGTCGAGGGGTAGGAAAGTGTAATTTAGTAATTTATTTCCACTGCCATCTGCTGCCAGTTATAATTTATGTGCCCTCAAAAATTGAAAAGCACATCCTGGCGGCACTTAAATAAATGTTGTATGATAATGGCTGCATTATGAGTTTTTATTGCGGATCGTTCGAGTGTTAATAAATAAGCTGAACATCGGGGCAACTACCATTCCACCACTCATGTTTGTTTGCAATTCCAGACCTCGGTGTGTGCGTTTCATTTATCACTACAAATGCCGGGGCAAAATCAATAAAATGTTACCGGGAAAATGCAAATAGAAAATGGCCCACATTCATCTTTGTTTGCCACACACAGAAATGCTGGAGCATAACGAGTTTTTCGATTTGAATTGTTAGATATGTAGGTTGGCAGTTGCCCTAAATGAATGTCCTTGTCAAAGCAACTGGGAATTAGTTTACATTTGCTGATACTCTGGAGCCAAAGACTTTATTAGATTTTATTAAATGTCATAGAGCACTGATGGAAAGTTACATTTTGTTTCGCTCAATTAAGGTGTTTCTGGGGGTTTGCAAACAAAACAAAAGGTTTTCCAAATGTATAGAGCTTAATTGAGGGCTCAGAATCTAATTAAGAGGCTACGAGTGCAAGCACTTTTGTATTTCTTTTGCATTTTTGATATCCCTTTTGGTTATTTTGCCTAAATTTGACTATGCATTAGGGAAATATATTTTAAGCCATAAATCCATCCCAGTTTTGTTTGCAACCAAATGAGTACAATCTGTTATCCATTTTCATTTAAAATGCAATTTGAATACTTTCAATTATTTATTTCCGTTTCGAATTTGGTCGAATGCCTCTATTAGCAAAATCGAACCACCCCAGCTTGGATTTTTAGTTCGATTTGCGGCCAGCATCTGGACATGTTTGTATTGACCCGACGGTTCATTTGATAAGCCTCTTATGCCAACCAAGAGCTTTGACAATCCTCAATTGTTCACCTCGATTCCAGTGCAATTGTCCGGCAATGAAAATTTGCTTAAGTTGTACGTTGTAAGGGGACTGAATCAAAGGCGGCTGGTGTAATAAAAAGTACCCCCGGTAAATCGGCTTAAGATTTATTTGTCTGGTATTCGAAATGGATTGGAATGGCTTTTGTCTAAGCATTTTGCATGAATCCCCGCCTCTAATTCAAGCAAACTGGCTTAAAGCGATTTATGTGGCAGCCAACACGGGGGAGCAAACAAACAGCTTGAATGCGGAGCTCGCGGCGTATGCGTAATGAATAATTAAAGCATATAAATCATACGCCACGTAGCCGCGATGGCGTCGCCAATGTGTCGGCCGTCGATACGAACACCACTCCCCCAAAAAAACACACTTGAAAGTGCTCACGAGAGCGTAAAATAAATAAAATGTTTATGAAAATATGCCCAGCAGGGAAAGTAATGAGGAAGCGCCCAAATCAGAAATCTCTCCGCCTGCTCCCTGATTTATATGCCGAACATCGAATCCATTTATCATCCGGCAGACGCCGAACCGAAATTTCCCTTGCATCCGATTTGTTTTCCCATTTTCGCACCAGCCACATGAGTCTCAGAAGTCTCAAACTGACGGAAAATCCGGTTCTATTTGCAGAGTGGAACGTGATCTCATGGGTCGTACGGACCGGTTCGGAGTGGAGGTACGGGAACGCACCATGTGGGACATTCGTCAGGGAGTCGTGGGCGCCGACACCTTCGTTCCCAAGCACGTGGTGATCGCCACCTGGAAGAACGTCTCGTTCGCCGGTGGAATCGACAACTCCCTCTACACGGTAAGTGGTCTAACCTGATTTATCGTGTAGTTAATCTTCGCCTTATAAAAATGTTAGGCACTTGAGGCAAAAAGAGATTTCAGCACAACTTTAATACCATTTACCATACCATTTTATAAATATAGATCAATAAGTAACTATGTTGTGTGTACTCCACAGACCAACACCTTCCAAATGGTCCTTGCTACCGATGAGGTCTACACCTATATCATCTTCAACTACGCTGTTTTGAACTGGCTTTCGCACACAGAGGCTGGAGGCGATACGACAAAGGGCGAGGGCGGAGTTCCTGCATATGTAAGTGGTCAAACTCTCCCTTTTTTTAGTCCCTTCACTTTTTGTCGGTTGGCACTCAATTAAACAGTTGACTACCAGGGGAAAACTTGCCAACTGATTGTGAGGGAAGAGGTTTGTTGGCATGTTTGCTCTGGTGATTTGTTCGGCAATCAAAAGGGAAAAGTAAAGTGCAAGTTGAGGACTCGCAGAAAAGGATTCCTTAATATGCATAAAGTTTGTTCTAACAACTTTCAGAATCCTTGATAATCAATGAAAAAATACCTAACTGTCTACAACTTTAAATTTCCTTTGCCAAGAATCACTCATCAAGAATCACTCATCAAATTTACAATTATCATAAGCTCAAATCGTTTTGCGTTTGAAACTCGAGTCCTCTTCAGCCTGCAGCCACTTCCAGTAATTAAACGCACAATTTAAACTTTGCCTAAGCCCGAAACATAATTGCGAACTTTGTGAACAGTTAATTAAATGTGTGAGCGATCCGAATGCATGTGCTAATTGCACTGTGGCCCCGAAAACCCCTACCTACTGACATATGAACTTCTACCCCCTTTTCAGGTCGGTTTCAACGCCGGCAACGGCACCCAGGCCTACGAGTACAAGCCCTACAGCCAGAACATGGTGATTCGGGACCTGGCCAACAGAGGATGGGCCAATGGGTTCCCTGGTCGTCACATTTTCCGCGTGGACGAGCAGATTCTAATTGGCTCCTGCAACAAGGATATCGGTACGTTTGATTGCATGGCCACTTTAATCGATGGCCCTGAAATTTAGCAACAGTTTTGGGGGTTTGGGTAACTACACACTGCTAAAAAGGATTTATGCGAGTCAGATCTTAGGAATTTATTCCAAATCGATTTTAAAATTACAATAAAATGTTCTTAATAATATTGTAAGTAATGTAACTATTTCTTTTAACAATTTAAGTCTTAAAAATCAGTTTTTTCTTTTTTTTCGGCGTAGTTAAATAACTTTCTTAAAAATTGCTTAAACACTATTTCTATTTTCGGAGAAGTATAGTAAGTTCCTAATAATTGCTATAAAATGAAATATATTTTTTAACTAGATGCTGCCCTGCTGCCTTTGACCTTCGCCCCCGAATCTGGCAACATGCTGGGTGGTCAAGTCGTCAACATTACTGGCCCCTGTTTTGACCCCAGTATCAGAGTTACCTGCCACTTCGATACGGAATCCGTGCTGGGAACCTATGTGGACAGGAACCGAGTGATCTGCGTGCAGCCTTATCTAAAGGCCGAGGGATACATTCGCTTCCAGATCTCCGTGGGCACGCAGAGATTCAAGTGGCGCGGAAAGTACTTCGTGGAGACCCCGGCTGCAGCCACCGAGAAGATCTTCTTCGCCAACGACGATGTGCACAAGAAGAATCCCAGCGAGATCCGCATCACCTGGAACCAGTACAATTTGACCTCGAATGCCAATGCCAACGTGATGATCTCGCTGTGGGGCTACCGCGAGACCAAGATCGAGCCCCAACTGGAGTACATCGATGTTATCGAAGCCGCGTACTCGAATTCCGGCAGCTACGTGATCACGCCCTCGAATTACCTCAACCGAAACAATATTAACCGGGACATGCAGTTCGGCTTCCTCCAGATCAACCTCACCCAGCCCGATCAGTACTCAGGATTGGCCATCAGTCCGTAAGTAGAGATGATATAGATTAAATCCTTTATAACTGAAACAAGAGTAATAGTAACTTAGTCATTACAAGAGTATTTCGCTTTATTTAAACTTACTTAACCATCAGGTCGCATAGCCAGCCTTATATAAATGAATTTACTCGTTCAGTTGCATTTGCAGTAACCCCGGAATCCCTCCCAGATTCCTTTGATATTACGATTTAATTGATTCTCGGTTGTCTCAATGTGTCATCTCAGTGCCTTGATGGTCTATCCTTGTTTTTATTCAATTTGTCGGGCAATTTCAATGACAATGAGAACGGGCTCTTCCAGAGAGCCACTAGATACCAGTTGCGATGGTAAACTCTACCCCTCCCTTCGGTTGCAATCAATTTGCTCGGGCTTGGCTTGGCTGAAGATTGCTTATTATGACAGCCTGTAATTGCGAGGCATTCTCGAAGCTAATCAATAATGGAAATGTGTTTTTAATGGCCTCGGCCAATGGTAATCGCTGTCATGTTTGTTGGCCAGTCTTCAGCATCTAAGCCTTTTCCTTCTCGTCCTGCAATTATTTTGCACTTAAACCTGAATCATCTTCCGAACCATAAAATTTGTTGGCCAAAAATACAAGTTCTATTTTGCAGATGCCCAGTTTGACGACCAGGAATTTCGGGGGTTCATTCAGTAAATCAGGTCTGCACAGGGAGAAATTATTAAGGTTTCATTGAAAACAGAAAAAGAATGTCAGCCCTTAAAATATTTTTAAGTTCCACGGAGATACACGGAAACACATCTTTTGTCATCAAACCATTGTACTTTTGATAGTGCAATAAATTATACAAGAATCTTTCCCTTTTTTCGCCCCTGTTTCTTTTCCCCTAAGACGCAATATAAAACCATTTTATTCTTTTTGGTTTACGGCACCTCTGGGTGTCGTTAGCCGGCCCAAAGTGGCGGGTGCCCAAATATATTGCTAGCATTGTTTCAACATTTAATTTCCATTTGATGACCGGGTAATTGTGAAAACTTAATGAAAAATATTTCCATGGCAGCTTGGGGCGTGAATTGCCATTGAAGGCTAACTAGGCAACGGCTAATGGCAATATCGTGTTGCTCGTCAGAAAAGAGAAGGTTAAATCGCGTTTATTAGCTGGCATTTGGCAGGGCTGCTTGCACGAATGTCAAAGGTGGATGAATGTCATCCTCCGGGCCGCTTCCCTTGAAATTAATCTTTGGCATACATTTTCACAATGCAATTTCCCATTTTCCCGATTCCAGGGTCCTGTGGTCCCGACCGATTCCATTGGCCTGGTATATGGCGCCCCAGTGGGAGCGACAGCACGGAAAACGCTGGGCGAGAGCTCTCTGCGATAATTGGATTCGCGCCGACCGATTCCTCAGGTAAGGCTCAACAAATATGCATTTGCATTTGCCCCGCTAATTAAAAGCAACCGAAAACGCCGATGGGGATTGGCCAAATGGATGCTGGCTAATTAGCCGAGGCTTGCAATAAAGGGACTTCCCCGCCTGAACATTCATATTCCCCATTTCGCAGGAACTTTGCCGCCGACCTTCCACTGTGCCCCTGCACCTTGGACCAGGCTGTCCTGGACAAGGGACGCTTCCGTCCGGATCGGGAGTGCGACAAGGACTCGAACCCCAGCTGCCTGAGGCATCGCGGAGCCATCCACTGTGTGGTCAGCGGAACGCCTGTGTGAGTGGCTTTTAATAATTATAATTTAAGGTTTATGAAAACTCAAGAGGGCTAAAGAAAAAAAATACTTTTAAAATCACTTCGAAGGGTGATTAAAAGTATGCAACAAAATATGAATTTAATTCTTTTACATCATACTTTTAGACAGCTTAAGAAATGATCTCTTAACTGATTAATACAAATATTTAAATTTTGTTTTTAAAATGTATATGCGTATCCTCTAATAACCCTGGCTTTCTCCATGTTCTCCAGTGCCCAAGGAGCTGAGCAGCAGTGCTGCTACGACCGCTACGGCTTCCTGATGCTGACCTACGACCAGATGTGGGGCTCCCGACCCCGCCGCGTCCACAACCTGGGCAAGATGCCCTGGAACGAGGCCAGCAAGGTGCCCTCGCTGTCCATGTGGTTCCACGACATGCGTCCCTTCTACTCCTGCTGCTTCTGGCAGGAGGAGCAGGCGGTGGGCTGTGAGACGTACCGCTTCGAGCGACGTCCTTCGCAGGACTGCGTGGCCTACCAGGCGCCGGGAATCGCCGGCGTCTTCGGAGATCCCCACTTTGTGACCTTCGACGGCACGGCCTACACCTTCAACGGCCTGGGCGAGTTCGTCCTGGCACGCAGCGTGGACGAGAGCAATAAGTTCGAGGTACAAGGACGATTCGAGCAGCTGCCAAATAACTACTATGGCGAGGTGAAGGCCACTCACTTGACGGCGGTGGCGATGAGGGGAAATACCACCACCACGATTGAGGTCCGCCTGCGTCCTCTGCATGCCAGGTGGCGCTATCGCCTGGATGTCCTCGCCGATGGCCGCAGGGTGTACTTCGATCGGGAGAGTCTGAAGTTCCAGCACTTCGATGGTGTAACCGTGTATACTCCGACCTATCTGCTCAATCAGTCCCAGGTGGTGGTGCAGTTCGATGCGGGAATCGGAGTTGAGGTCGTGGAGAACGAGGGCTACATGACGGGTCGCGTCTTCCTGCCCTGGAAGTTTATAGTGAGTGCAAAACAATATTTCTCATTTTTTCTATTTCACATTAATAATTTATTATCATTCCAGAACAAAACAGCTGGTCTTTTTGGCAATTGGAGCTTCAATAAATTAGACGACTTTATGCTGCCCAATGGACAGGTGGCTGCTCTAAATCTGAATGATCTGCGTAGTATCCACACCAACTTTGGCATTAAATGGATGCTCACGGACCGCGAGGTTCCCGGAGTGGGAGCTGCTCTATTTACCAGGGAATTCGGAAGGATGTCCAGTTACTATGCGAATGCCACCTTCCAGCCAAATTATGTCCTGGATCCTGCGGACTTCCTGCCCACCAATCGTACTTACGATCTGGAGAGAGCTGAAGAACTCTGTGGAGAGTGCATGCAGTGTCAATATGATTATGCAATGACCTTAAATCGAGATTTGGCGCACTATACCAAGAACTACTACGACACCATAGTCAATATGCAGGCTGAGAATGCAGTGTAAGTTTAAGATTTTATGGGTAGAACCCAAAATTTAAGGTCTAACAATGTTATTTCTTACAGTCGCGTGGTATCCTGTGGTGTTTTGCAGACCCCTCGATTCGGTCGAAAGCTGAGCTTTGATTTCATGCCTGGTGCCAAGGTGTCCTTTGAGTGTAATGAGGGCTTTATCCTGGTCGGAGATCAACGTCGTGAATGTTTGTCCAACGGGCTGTGGAATGTTCCTGAATACGGATACACCGAGTGTCTACGTAAGTACCAAAAACAATATCCCTTTGATTAGGAGCCCCTAAATCTAACCTACAGTTCTACTGACTGACTGAAGTAAAGCTTTATCTATGCTTTTTAATAATTGAAAAATATTTATTACTTAAATTTATATTAAATCTTAAAATACTATTACTCTGATATTAAAAGCTTCTTAAAAACCGGACTTTAAAAAAAGTAGCTAACCCAGTCAGCCAGTACATAGTGGGAATGTGTTCTTAAGCCCCCTGATCCTCACCAATCCTTACCAACCTTTGACCCCGTGCAGGTGAGGTGTACTACACGCGTCGCGTCGCTTTCATTGCAATTGGCATTATCTTCCTGGTGATCTGCCCACTGATGCTGTGCATCGTGTGTGGCGTGTATCGCTATCGCCAGAAGCAGCTAAAGGAGGATCCCCAGTGGCAGATGCCCATGCTGCCCCGCTCGAGGGCTAGTTCCGCTCGTAATCTGAGAACGCTCAACTACGACGATGACAGCGATACGGATGCCAGCACATTGAAGAAAAGTAGGTCCTACGACAAAGTATATCGCACGAACGAACCATTACCGGGCAAACCGCAAATTGATTTTCCAGCTAAGAAATGGGATCTGGATGAGAACGACGAGGATGTGACCTCATCCGAAGGTAGTCAAAATAGAAACAGCTCAAAGTTAGCCAGGGACATTTCCTACATTAATCTGAACGTAACCACAGGTGAGAAGCCGAAGCAGCTGGGTCGCCGATCCCTGCACTCCGCCTCCGGAACGGATTTGGATCAGCACGGCTCGCCGGTGGACGAGGATCATCATCCCGACGAGGACGATGACTTCGATGAGGCGGATGTCCACACGGGCACCACCCATCCGGCTGGATATCACCAGCCCCTGTCGCCGGAGGAGGCGGACCAGCTGCACCGCCAGCAGTACAGTCCCACGTTCAGCGGCCTGGACAGCCGCACCAGTGGTGCCAGCTCCATAAACTACACGCCCCAGGCGGCGTCACAGAACCGCTTCGGAGGAGTGCCAGTGCTGCCCAGCAATACCCAGTACTACAGCAGACCCCCGTCGAGTGTGAACGCCGTGCCCCTGCGCACAGCACCTACGCCCCTGACGCAGGACACCGGCCTGCCATCACCCCCATTGGCCACCTCGCCCACTCCCTCGGTGCAAAAGTCCACGGAGGTCTGAGGATCCGAACTCATCCCGGTCCCCACTAGCTGCAAAGTTCAAATAGGAGCCACCCACAAATAACAACTAATTTTAAGTACCTGTTATTGCCGCTAACTTTGAACACCCACCTGCCCATGATGTTTTCCATTTCTATTGTTGTACTGCTGTTTTTCCCGAGGCCATGACCACATAAAGAATAACACCTAACATGTAACAATTATTTAATAGTCCCAATCCGAAACCGAATCCTTGTACATTAAGCATAATTCTAACGGCAATTCATTTGTATTTACGTCGGCCCAGGTAAACAATCATCATTTTATACATTGAATAAAACCAAAAACACTTGTTTATAGTAGTTTACTTGTAAATATTGAATAATGTTTTCCGTTCTCCTTGCAGGCGAATTCGATAATGCCAATTGTTACATGAAAGTTGACACTTCGCAGGGTTCGCTTTGTTTGCTATTTAACTGCCTGTCAATTTTCTGTAATAATTTGCATGAGCAGCGGATTGCATTGCAGATTATACTGGAAAAAGTGGGCAGAGGAAATGCGGAAATTAATATAAAATAAAAACGGTTGGCTTAATAATTAAATATCCTATCATAAGGATATTCGAAAACCAAAATCTGTTAATGCCACATCTTTTAAATTCAGTAAATGTATTCTTTTTTTAATTTATATGCTGTCCCGCCAATTTTGTCCAGTGTAATATTACCAATGCAACGACAGTGCAAACGAAAATTACATGAAATTTACAACGAAGCAACGAGACCGAAGCCAAAGACATTAATCTTCAACTGTCACAGTGTTTTTTTGTGCTCTTCCTTATTGTTGTTGTTACCACTGCCACGCCCCAGTACTCCACCTACGCCCCCTTCCATCGGGACAGAATGTATTGTGTGCATTACGCCAATGTCAATCAATCTTGAGCAAATTGATGGACAAGTTGCCGTTACTTATGTCTGTTTGTCCGCCGGCGAATCCTTGGTCCTCCTCATCAATGTGAGGGTATAGCCCGTTCTATCTGGGAAATAGACACAACACAATGCCAGGACGACGAGGACTCAAAACTAGGCGACTATGTAGTTTCCAGCCTTGAGTGGTTGGATGGATGGCAGGGAAAAGCTAGATGGATAGCCCAGTTGGCTGTTTTATTTATGAGCAGAGATGGAAAGGTAACACGTTTGAAAAGGATAAGGTAGAAGGTATATGGCAAAATCTCTCTGAATATAAAATTAAAATTCTAAAACACTTATGAAATAAAAAAAAAGTATCTTTCACATAAGCGACCTCAAGTAAATGGAATGTAAATTAAATCAATTATATCTTCAAAAACTGTTCTTTATATTGAGTTTTTAGTGAACTTTCTTTCCTATTTCTTAGGTTAAAAATAGTTAATCGTAGATACATGGGTATTGAAAGAGTATTTCAAGTGCTATATAAACCAATGATTCCATCACCTGAATATTCCATCACTGTTCGTAGAACCCACTGCTCAGGTCCCCCGTCCTTCGACCCCCAAAGAATCCTTTGTCTATTTTCGATTGCATACCTTTGCAGGACATGAGGAGCATTCGGCGCGGGTGGCTAGCATTTCGCTGGGAATGGTCCTGCTCATCCTGATTCCCTGCCTTTTACTTCTGGTTTGCGGGGCGAATTATTGGATTCGCGAACGAATCGCCAGGGAGGAGGAGAAGCAGCCCAGGCTCTGTTGCCGAAATCCAAGTGGCAGAAACAACATGTAATTTGATTACCACATTGATGAGCTGCCGAGGAAATCCGATCGTGTGCTGAATTACAAATCACATCATGGACTCAAAAACCTCAGATGTAATTACACAATTTCATTATAAATTGAACCTGCATCAGAACTCTATTTATTAACTACCAAATAAAATAAAATATTGATTTTATTTTTAAATAACTTTTGAAATGTGGAGATGAAAGAATATAAATCATAGAGTACTTACCTACTGTCTTTAAAGCTATAAAGTATACTTCACATTTCAGGGTTCAATGAAATATTTTTATTTGCTTCTGCGTATGTTTATCTTGCGATTTACTCTTGGGTTACAGTTACATATTGATTTTACTTTAACAATTTAACATTTACTCCACGTTGTGTACAGATGAAAGTAGATAGGGGCGGAAAGATGGGGTTGAGGGCTTAGTTAGTTAGCACTTAACACTTCTTAGCCTTTTTACAGTACAAGTAAGTAACTTAGATTTAACACTCAACACATCTTTGGACCAACAAAAAACAAATCGAGTCTTAAGCTACGCTTTGCCTTAGAAGAACATTCAGCTGAACAGTTGGATATATTGGTTTTAGAGTATTTGCATCTGTGCACATTGATATTGCTATGAGTACATCTATATATAGGTTTGTATTAACTATAGTCCATGATTTCAGGGAGAGAGACTTCCGGCGTGATGGCTTATAAACTATAAAGCTATTTTTCAGTTATAGTAAAGTTGAGATTTGTCCTTCGTAACAATGGCCATAGATCAATGGAAACTTAAACAACTTTGTGGGTCGGAGAGCTCTTAACCTATAGTCCTATTTTCTTGATGCTGCACTACGGACTTAAGAACATTTATCCATGTAAATACTTTGTTGTGTTTCGTTTCTTTCGGTTGTACATTTGTATAGAGTTTACTTCTTGGTGCAGTTGAGTTTGCTAACAATTTGGTTTGTTTTCTGGTCGGTAGCCCTGTATAGAAGTTGACGAACCCAATTACATCTATATATAGTGTGTATATTCATATATCTTTGTCTTTCTGTCTGTTTTTACCTCTTTGGTGCCTTGTGGTTATGCTAATTTACGTTTACGGCTTAATTAGTTGTCCCAAAAGTTGAGTGGTTTAGTTAGAATATTTGCCTTACATTGTTTCGCTCGTCGATTTTTACAGTTCGAGTAATTTCTGCCTTTAGATTTATATAGTTACACGAAAAAGTTCAGCCTAAGAAACCATCACAAAGTAGAATCATAATAAATACATATTAACAAATTACACTTCCTTTACACAATAGTACACGTCTACAAGGATTCACGCAACACACACTTAGATGATTTTAAACATTTTTACAGGATAATCCACAGGCTGAAACGAGAAAACAATTTAGAAAGATTTTAGTGGGGATATTAGTATGGCTGCAAACACAAAATGGGAAATATAAATACTCTTATGTCGGTCACGAACTGGCCCCGCATAAAATGCGGTCATTTTCTACACAGAGAAAAATGTTTTTGGCTGATCGGAAATTTCATCATAGGATTATATTAGTTTTTAAGAACTTAAAATGTCTTTGAAAATTTCGAAGTATTATTCCGTGTTTATAACCGTTAAATGTTTTCTGATAAATTTAAAAGGTATTTTTATACAAATTCAATTTAAGCAGTGAGAGCTTTTTAAAACATTTCATAATAAATTATAATAAATTTGAAAATATTTTGTAAGACCTCTCCATTTTACCGAGTTTCTGGGTCTAATATCCGTTATATTTTAGTGCAGTGTAGGAAAGGGCTATCGAAATCAGAGTTCTGTTTGTTTGCCTAACCGTTTGGCTCCCGTGAGCACGCAATTCAATTTAACCCTTCACGCCCAATTACGCCGTAAAGCCGGTGCCAGGATCGCAGGACTCGCAGGACACACGAGGTGGAAACAGTGTCAATGTCAAAAGTTGGACTTTGGCCATGTGGAAACGTAACGGAACAAGAAACTTGGCTTGTTTTTCCACCCAGCTCTCTTGTTTGTTATGCCAACTGCGTTTTTTGGTGAGGGGGCGTTTCGACCACAAAACAGTCCAACTACAAAGGCGCAAACAACTTTTGATTGCCAAAAACTGGCCAACCTATGTCGGCTGCCTTTGTTGGGGAATTTTCAAAATTTCAATCACGTAAGCAATTCCCTTTCCCTTAGATCCTCACCAAAAAAAGGAAAGTTTAAAGGTCTGCCAGGAAACGATTATTTATAGCATTAGGATAGTCAGTTTTATGGTTCCCACCAGTTTTGGTTACAGCCAGGTTTCCGCCATTTGCGGTTTGGCAAGTTTGTATTTCAATTTGGTTGGAGTGGAAAAAAAAAACAGTTTTATATAGATACCTGTGTGTAAGGATCCTCCAGGTGATTTAAGTTTTTCAAAAAGTTAACATAAAACAACTTTCATTTATTGTTATCCAGTAAGTCATTATAACAGTATGTTTTTATCTTATATCATTTTGTTGCCTTTAAAAATTTTTTTAACCCTGTTTATATAATGAATATCTCAGTTCATGCCAAATCAAATACATTCCCCCTTCAGCACACGTTTAAAAATAAATAAGATTCGATTGGACCACTCTGCTCGGCATTTTATCTTTGGCATGCAACCGGGAAATGAATAAATAAATCGACGGTGTCGAATGGATGGCAGGGCAGTTGATAGTAATTGCACATGCATGTTAACCCCGAGCCACTGACAGCATTCCTGGCCCCGTGACCCCCTTCCCCGCCCCTTTTCAGATCCTGCTGACACGCTAAGCAATTTAACAATTTTACAGACAATTAAACAACAACATCCTCGAGTCCTTGGCTGTCCTTCGGCCGAGCTGTCATTGAATCGACTACGACGACAAAATGGCTAAAATGTACTTGCATCTAATGCTGGACCCCGATCTGCTCCTCCTCCCGTCGCCACACATAAAATATCGATTAGTTTAATGTTCAAAAATAGCAGCAAGTGTTTCTTTGGGGGTCATCCTGCCACAGCCACAAATATATGTACATAGCCCATTCGCATGGGAATTTTCAACAAATTGAATTAAAATTGTAAATATCGCATCCGAGTGCTGTGCCTCGAACTTTATGGCCCCACAAATCAAATGCACGAAGGTGGACACACACTCTGTTGGCCAAAAGGGAAGGTTTGAGGGCGATGGAAAGGGGGGGGAAAACGCCAACTTTACACCCCCTTTGCTGTCTGAAAAGTTTACGCCTTTGTAGAGCGGCATTTAAAAAAAAAGAGCAAATCGGCAGAGAGAAAATGCGTTGGTCGAGCAAAAAATCGAGCCGGGAAAAGTGAATCGGAAAATGGTCCATGGAAAGTTACCGATATTGATGTTGCGGGCGTTTCCAAGATTACTTTGTTTCCCTTTTTCCACTTTCACTGTTTTCGCGGCAAATTGCATTCGATTGGATACAAAGAGCATAAACTTCATGCTCACACGATTTTCAACGTTGATAGAGGATGTTCAGGAAAATATATTCGCGCTCGGGAATAAATATTTTCTCAGGTGAGCATTGCAAATGGAAAATGGTGTAGTTAAAGGGAGAACTTTATGGGTGCCACAATAACCACTAGGTTTTGAGATCCTTTTTAAAGG